ATTACGTGTTACCAGCGTCACGTGACTTCCGCTGTCATAACAATTATTATTTAATATCAGCTATTTTTTTTTGCAACTGCAGGAAAAATAGCAAAAGTGACTTGGGGAAGGGGAGGAAGGAGTATAAATCCCAAATGTTTGTAATAAAAATTGTAGAATTCTCCCCTCCCCACTACCCCCACAAAAAGCTATTCCTTCATTGTAATCCAGGATAAGGACAATTTTTGAAAAATTAATTCCCAGTTTTCCTCATAACTATAGCAACACGAATGATAACTACCAATTCTTGACTTTGTAAGTGAGTTGGATATTTCATTTTAATGCTGTAATGCTCCACGTTCTATTATAATATTTCCAATTCCAGTAATTTCAATAATGTAAGACCACACATTCCAGATTTTCCTGTAATATCATTTTATTCACAGTTTATTAACCTCTCTAAATTAACCTAAATATACAGTTGTGCATGAATCTCCTATTATGGTACGAAGTTAAGCATTACGCATGTTAAATATAAAATTTATTTCAATTACTCACCTTGTTGTTAGTGATGGAAACTTTTGATAACCTGGAATTATGTTTTGAAATGTTTGTGCAGCTGCTAACAGGAGTGTCGTTTACGGTCTTTTGCAATATCTTTACAATGGTAAAAAAGAAATCAGTACCTAAGCCTAAGTTTTCACACCTGTAGCATTATTAATCAGGAATTATCTTTGTTCTTATTTTTTACTAATATTACAAAAATGACAAAATAATATTATTTGACTTAACATTCAATAACTATTGAAAAGTTGAAATAATTTGGAAAAATCTTTTGATATGTATGAATTTTTTACATTTTATTGTGTGTGTTCTGTTATACTGACAATTACAAATCTCTTCACATTCAGAGATATTCAAAAAGTTATCTTTTGTTGAAAAGTTTTTTTTTCATATTTAAACTTTTTATTTTACATATAAGTTAACAACTTGTTAATACTTTGTTTCGTTCAACTGACTATTCATGACAACCCAAATAAATTTATGCCTTTATTTTGTATGTAGGATACCTAACAAGTTTTTACATAAAATTTATAAAAAGTAAACAATACATATACTGTATATAAAAACTTAAAATAATATAATAATTATAGTAAACACACATATATATATATATATAAGCCATAAACAAGCAGGCTATTTGTCGGGTCATCACGTAATATTTACCCTAGAATGGTTTTGAGATGATTTTGGCATTTTATCTGGCTTTAGGATGGAATGGTTTTGACTTAGCTCTTGAGAACTATTGAAGGATGATGTAGTATTCCATTTGTTGTATGATGAAACCTAGAAAAACAGTTGATTAGGAAAACTAAGCCAACACCTAGTTCTATGTCTATAAGTAGCAGCTTCAGATAACTATTATATACTACATGTATGTAGATATTCAAATATCCACGCACACACTTTTCTGTATCATGCCAATGACAATTATTGTTATTTTAAAATAACATTTCAAACTACTTACGTAAATATCAAAAACACAGACATACTAAATCATGAAAGGTTACACTGTATCAAAACACATCAATCTCATTTTAAAGCATAAAACCACAAAAAAAAACAATGTTTAGGTTTATATGATATTGCTATTGAACTAATATAGACATCAGAAGAGTGAGATAGGGTTGATAGATACAACATGTATCACATTAAGTTTAAGAAGATAACTCACCTGATTGGATAAAGACATTCTTGTTTTCCTACACAAAGTTGACTTGATATTACCTATTCTATGAACAGGGGAGTTGTTTTGGAAAGACGAACCTTTTGAGGTTGATTTTATCTTAGCTAAAGGTGATGACAACAGTATGGTTTCTCTTCTTAATCTGGATTTTTGCTCTGTCTGATTAGGAGAAATCCATTCTTCTGGATATTTTTTTCTGTTTTTTTCTGCTATTAGGGGACTTTCTTTAAGAGTAAAAGTTCCTCTTCTTATGATTCCCCTATCATCCTGGCAAATACTTCCATCTGGATTTTTTTCTGGAGAAGGATATGGCAGTGTGGAGTCTATGAACTGACTTGCTTCCTGCCAGGTCTCATTAGCAATACTGGAGTAATTTTCTTTGTCTTCCACTGACACAAGTGAAGTAAACATGTCATAACTGGACTCTGAATTTTTTGTTTTGAGCTCGCTAGTTGAAGTCATACTCTCCCCCATCTTTGGATACAGGTTTGTCTCATCTGTTTGTAGAGCAATTGTTTTAGATTTTTTTTGGATGTCAGTGCTCTCTCCTGTTAATATCAACAGTTTTGAGGTGAGATCGGGTGACAAATTACAATTTATATTGTTATTACTCATAGTGGACTCACTCTCTACACCTAGCTTATGATTTTCCTTGTTTGATGAATGGCAAACAAGGCTGGAAGCCTTTTTTGTTACTTCTCCACATGAAACTGGTTTCCAGTTATCAGAGATATCTGAAAGCTACAAGAAATATAACTGAATATATGTTCTTCAACTGAAATAGTAATTTACAATTACTTTTATGAATTAGAAACAAGGAAAAAAAGAGGTCAATAATTTCACTGAGAAAGTAAATAAAAATAATGCATAAACGTCTTTGGGGTATATGTGAAATTTCAAATGTTAGTTTCTGTAACAAAACATATTACAAAGACTTGAAAATGTAGAAAAAGTAATAAGAATATTAGGTTCTTTGTTAGAAGAATTAGGAAAATCACTTTTCAGAACAAAAAGGGCAGATTACACTACATTTAAATTTCACCTATCCAATATTTTCAGTCACAATAAGATTAAAATTTTGTTGACAGTGATTAAATAAATTTTTAATTTTGTGAACTAGCAGATCTAACTTAACATAATGTAGCATGAAACTTGTACTGAATAAACAATAAAAGTATTATTTAATTTTTAATATGTATTTTAAAAACTTGATTTAAATACAGTAACAGGGTACTTTGTTAAAAAGAGAAAGAAACAACCTATGAAGTTTATCTATTTAAGTTTACAAAGAAGGATCAAATAGGGTATTTAGACAATAAAATCAAATTATACAATGTTTAAAAAATGCACAAGTTTGAAAGTAGATATTCTAAAAGTATATAAACTGTTACAAAAAGGAGGAACATATGTCTGTCATTATGATTAGCCACAGTTTGAGATTGATAGTAAAGAATTCTTCTTATAGCTATTTCCTAGCTGATCTAGATTGAAAGTGATGAAGAGAGCCAAATAATGAAGGAAAAACTAGACATATGCTAGTTTCTAGGTAATCTTTCTTTCTTTTTTATAACGTAACAAAAAACCCAATGAGAAATTAGAAATTCAACTAACCATGATAAGATGTTCATAGATAGATGGACAATTATGTTTCCTTAATAATTTACAACATAAACTAATTTATACTCGTGTTCATGACATTAGCAAATGACAATGCAGATGTGCAAATAGAACAATTATGTAAGATGCAGAATCTGAACAAAGAAAATTAGACAACGCTCTACTAGATTAACCATGAATAAATTTGGCAGATATAAATTTTTGTTATAGCTAGTAAACAGCGGCAGACTAACACTCAAAATAAATATTAAAAACTAGTTAGTAATTAATATCTAGTAATTGAAAAAAAATTATTCTAAGCTATTTAAGATTTTGATTTAGTTGATCATACAGGCTACTAGAAAATTTCAATATTTCACAACTTTTCAGGATTTCCAGGACCAATACTAACCCTTGCCATTCTTTCTGCTGAAGAACATGGAATAACAATCTACCCCCTCCCCCCGAAACAGAACCAAAAATTATATACATGTGTGGAAATATGATATTTTACCATTCCATCAATAGTAAGGGACATCTTTCTATTTAGGAATAATTGGGTAGTATTTTTCAAATTTTCATATTGGTGTTATGTATATAATTAATGACATCCTTGTAAACTGGATATATAAAACAGGTCATAAACTTTCACTAATTCTCTTGTATAGAGAAAGTTTACTTGCCACAATGATTGTTCCATAGGGCTGATACTTGCTTGGCCCATTCTGTGTCATGTTCTCTTAGAGTGAGGAAATATTCATTTTGAGAGGTGGTGCAGAAAACAGTACAAATTAATATGAGTTGAGGGTTTATCTCCCTTGAATATGTGCACTGAGTGGCAAATTAATTGAGACATCTCGGGGATCCTCTCATGCATATCACTTTTGTTGTACAAGACAAGCATTACTTCATATGTTTTCTGTTACTCACTCCTAACCTTACTCACTTTTACAAAACAATGTCACTTCCAAACTGACTTAAATTTTCAATGGATAATTCATCAAACCATAAGAAAAATCCTTCTTAGACCTATATTAGGCTAAGAAAGCAAAGGCCCTTCATTCCTAACTTAGCCTAAAAGTTAGGTCAACAATAAGCCAACTAAGTAAGGCCTGCTTATCAGTCTATGTTAACTTAACTGGAACTAAGCTCATGACCTTCTTAGACTACACTAAGTCTAAGCAACATTAAATTAGCCTAACTAGATGTTTTTGGGCATGAGTTTAGCCTAACTGCATCAGCATAACACAGAATGAAGTGGTAAATTTCTACTGCCTCACACAAGTTATACTGTTTAATGTTTTTTTCACTGTCTATAAATGAAAATGGGCAAAATAAATCAACTAATTTATCTGGATCTGACTAAAAATTTTCTTATTTTATAAAATATATTATGTGTTATGTACAACACTCTGCAATCATACTGACCTCTAATCATTCTTTAAATACAGTATCCTAACCAAAAAATTTTGGGTCGTCCATTTGCCTTGGGACCTCTGAGCAGCAGCCCTGTTGGCTCTTCTGTTAATTCACCACTGTGTGTATTGTGAATAATTATTGACATAGGCAATTTAAAGATTGTGAAATACTACAATAAGACCTTTGTCTGACTTAACAGAACTGTATTTTCCTGATTTTTGAAGTTGTATCTGTCGAGTGTGAATATTTTGCATTCAACATGCTTTTGTGTCCAGCAGCAGTTTTAACAAAAAATAAAACAACAAGCAAGTTGTGAATAAAGATCATGTTTATTTGTTCAGTAATATCTTCTTGTTATTTTTTGTTTTCTGCTGTCTATGTTCATTTTATTTTATGCTTGTCAATTTCAGAACTAAACTAATTATGCATGGGGCCAGTACGTTTGACCAACTCTGTACTAGAGAAGGAATTTTAGCTGTAATTATGAGTTCACTATGTATACCTACATAAAATGTGGCAAACTTTTAGTAAAATGCACAAGTTTGTTGTATGCAAAAAATCAGATATGTTACAGCAGTATTATACTTAAGATGTGTCTGAATGGATGATATCAGTGTGACTTTAATTCTGACAAGTAAGAACCCAAGGTGATGTTTATGCTATGAACAAAAATATTTTTGTTCATTGAACAATTTGTATATTGCATTTGCATAACCTCAAGAACCTCCAAAATGCACATCTCAATTTTCTTTTCAGTATCCCTATATTTTTAATTCTGTTGTGCACATTGGTGTATAAACGATATTTTAAAACTAGTACTAAAATCAAACTTATAACACCAATTTTGTTATTTTTCTTTAACTGGACACTCAACATTTTGCTCTACAGCTTTTTTCAGGAGCATTCCATAAAAACACAAACTGTAACTGACAGTACAAAATAATAAATTCTAGTCAAATATATAGAATGCATTTCAACAGTGTGTGGATGACATTAATCTTTTCACTGTGAGACTGTACTCTTTAAACTCCATTCTGCACATTCAAAACTTAATTAAACCACTTTCCTATCAATGTATTCTAAAGAAATTAGCATTATCATGTGCATTATAATTCAGAGTTTTATATAAGTTTGAGTTCCTTTATTTCAAAAGAAATCTTTAAATAAAAATGCTTAAACTTCAATTTTGTTGTCACATGATGCACGAGTTATCACAAATCTTAACGTTTTGCCCTTAACACTTGAATATACAACATACATGTATGCCTAGCTTTAATCTAATTGTATAGAGTGCTGTGTACCCATTCTTAGATCAAATTCCATTACCAAGTACAGGTCAGGAAAAAAATAAACTTGCTCACCCCTTGACAGTAGCCACGCTCACCACTTTTATTTCAGGCAACATGTACCTATTTGATTAACATTTTCATAATCAACAGAAAGAGCTTATTTTAAACAACAATCTCTCAATTATTTTAAAACTGGCAAGCAATATTCGTTGCCAAGTACATTGAACAACACTAACATTGTTTGCTGATTTTGTTCCTGCTAGCACTTAGTGTTGTTTCTTGTCTAGATACATATTAATTAGATAGACAATTAAATTTCATTTAGGTTTTACTTTTACATTTCAGTTAATTATGTTATTTATGTTTGAAATTAATTTCTGAAAGGTTTAATAATTTTCTAATGTAATCCAAATCTTGCCTTGGTTTTCAAGGGTTAACTTACTATGCGAGTGAAAAAAACATTTTACCGAACACTTGTGTATCTCTGCCATAGATACTGTAATATATCCCAAAGGCACTCATTGGTAAGTGTCGAGAAAAAGTAATAAACTATAAAGGACAGGAAAGGAAAATAAAACATTAAAAATAAACTGTAAGTGAAAAGGTAAAGGCCTGAAAGTACTAATATAACCACAAGAATATATCTTCGGGCATTGCTACTAATATTTTATTTAATACTTATTAATTACAACATACTACTGACTAAGAGCCCTGTAAGTAGCACTATTGGCTTTCTTTAAGAAATCATCTGTAAATTCTTGTGAGAAACATGGTTTTTGCGCCACCTCCATCTTCCTTATCAGCACGGATTCTAAGGTGGAGTTTGACATTGTCCTTGAAAGTCTGTCCTGTTCTTGAGAACA